CTCGCAGAACAACGTCCAGTCCAGACGAGGAGGCAGGTAGCAGTTGATGATCTCCTGCGTCCGTCTCAGGATGAACATCCCGGTCAGACGAGAGAGCTCCGCCGCTCGCTCTTCCCCTAAAACCCTCTCCTCCTGACGGCAGAGATGAAATTAAATCAGGTTTATTGCCAGTTTTCTTTATACACTCATTCAAATGTTTGGAATTGCATGCCACAAGCTTGATCAGGTGAAGTCTGCTGGCTGAGAGTTATATCCTTATTTTTATTAATGATGTTTCAGGCTTTTAAAGTATAAAAAATCCTCTTTAAAAATAAATGTGACTTTGCATGAAGCAATGTGTGCAGTTTTAAAATCGGCACATGTTCCTTAATCGGTGTTAAAGGTGGGGTAGGTAAGTTTGAGAAACCGGCTCGAGATACACTTTTTGTTATATTCCATGGAATGCTCTTAACATCCCGATAGCAATGAATATATTAAGTGCTTTGACCAAAAATCCATAAAAAATGTCATCTGTGGAAGCCGTAGTACTGTAAAAAGCACGACCAATCATTTTAGCCGGCCCGGCTAAAATAACTGGATGGCCTACCTGCCTGTCAGCCTTCCATCTGTGCACAAACTTATCTCGTGCCCTCATTGGTCATGTGCGCGTTCGTGTGTGTTGGAGGAGGGGCTCTGTAAGGAAGTGGCAGATTTTTTCCGGCTGTGTATTTTCAAATTTTAGCACACTCGAGCTGGTTTCTCCAAAATTACCTACCCCACCTTTAACAGGCTTTGGACTTAAAATGTACAGTTTATAAAAAGGTTTTTTAATATAACCACTGAGTTGAATGCATAAAAGCCAAAGAAAGAATTGGGTTCACAGCTCACACAACGTTTAGAGTGCAATTGTCCCGTTGCAGTTAAATAAAGATCGAGGGTCAATTACATTTTTCTGGGCTGGAAAACAAATAAAAAATCTGATTATTCTCCCCTGTTGTGACAGGGACATCGACTAAATGGAAGTAATGAAATGCTTCTTTTCTGGGGGGCACAAAACATAGATTTGGTCCCTAAATTAAACCGTTTTAGGCTCTGTAAGAATAGCTATTGTAGAGAGAAAGAAGAACACATGAATACAATAGTTGTTTCCCAAATTGGCAGTGTATGTCAAGTGACTATATCGAAATAAAAAAACAAAAAGGTCAGAGGTTGTATTACCTCAGCACAGCCGGGCTGTCTGGAGCGTAGAATGGGCTCCTCGTAAACCTTCCTATACCCAGTGGACGACCCGAGGATGCCCGGGTTAACAAACTCTATAATCGCATAAAACTCCTGCAGGTCGTTCTGAACCGGGGTGCCTGCAAAACACAAAGACACGTTTTGTTTGTGCATTGTTTGTCAGAGACAGTTTTCCTCCAGCTTCCTCTGTCAGGAGCTCTGTATCTCAGCGACGGTGAGTACCTGTCAGTATGACTCTGCGACTACAGCTCAGGCTGCTGATGGCTGAAGACGTCTTGATGCTGCTGTTCTTTAATCTGTGGCCTTCGTCACAAATCACAAGACCGAACTCCACTTTCTGTACCTGTAATCATGAGAAAGCGATACATTAATATAACGAAAGATAATAAAGGCTAATTTAATTGTAGAATGCACACTTGACCGACAAGGTGAACGTACCTGGTCCAGGCAGCGCAGCAGCATTTCATAGCTGATCACAAGAACGCTGTGCAGAGGAGATAACACAAACTTCTCGATCCTGTTGTCCTGTACGTATGTCAACAAAGGATGAATAATATTAATGACTTCATATATGCTAGATTAAGGAAAAAAGGTGATTTAGAAAAAAGGCCAACAGACCAGGAGAAGTCATAGATCACCGTAAATTCAATATCAATTAGACACAGAATTCAACAAGAGCACAGAGGTACCAAATACACAATAAACAATTTAAATGGCCGGTTTAAAAAATATATTATGCATCACTTTAAATAACTTTAGTTTTGATAGCTTTCACTGTTACTCATTATGTTGTTTTGTTACATGGCAGTTGCTGAAATCTCTTAAAACACACAACATGTAATTTCGGACAATAGAGGTCTCTCTCTTGTTCATCAAATAAATAATTCCCCCCCCCCCCCCTCTCCTCACCTGATCCACAGTGAAAACGTTGATCCGCTCTCGGCCCAGCCACTTGTTAAACTCCGCCCCCCAGTTGTGCACTAGGCTGCCAGGAGTGACCACGAGGACACGCTTAGCAACCGGTTTCCCCCCGTATGGGCCTTGTTTAAGCAGCGTCCAGGCCAGCGCCACGCTCTGGAGGGTCTTCCCCAGACCCATCTCGTCAGCCAGGATAGCCCCGTAGCGCCCCACAGCTCTACACAATGAAACACATTAATATCATCTGTTGATGAGACGAACTACAGAAGATAAGTGGTTCAAGAACGGCTCCATTACCTCAAGCCCATGACACACTCATAGAGGAAGAGCAGGCCGTCCCTCTGGTGGGGGCGCAGGTGGGTCGTCAGGTAAGGGTCAATAACAACGTCCACCACAGGAAGCCCCGCCTTGTTGTTAGACCACTGGTGGTTAGCGGAGGGACGAGGCATCACCAGAGCGCCTGAGAAAGATCCAGAGTTCTGAGTATGTTTCCACATAATGCACACAAGAGGCAATATAACAAGATGACTTCTTTATTGTTCACATGAACAATTTTAAATGAACTGTAAAGTTAAAGATATATTGACAATTGTACTAGTATTTCTATTTTATACATCTTTATTTTGATCTGTTTTAATTGTTAGTGTAATAAGCACCAGCAAATGTTTTGTTGATTGTGATGTGTGTACCTGCCCAGGGACTGCAGGTTTGCATGGTCCCTGTTCAATAAATATATGTAAACAAATAATGTAAAATGATCTTGTTTCCACAGTCCATAAACTGATTGTTCAACACGAGAACATATATTTTGAGAAACAAAATAATGCATGAATGAGTATAGTGCTATTGAGTATAAGTTTAGGTTTTAGTTGATACAATTAATCAAACCTAATGATATACTATTCCTCCATTGATCCCTATTAAGACTGTAAAACCCATGCACAAAGCGTGAGTTCAGCTTCTGAATAACTTACATACTGCTCTTATATTCTTTGGCCATCCAGGCCTTTTATTTCCCGGTAAAAACCATTACTGGCGTTCTTGGAAATCATGTTTACTAACAATCCTGACATATCATAAAGAAGTATTATCATTACTACACACCTGCAGCCAGCGGGTCATGGCGGGGTTTGCAGGTTTGTTCCTTCTCTGGGTTGGACCCTGGATGATCTGCTCTGCCTGACAGCAGTGGGGAGCAGAACGCTTTGGACCCCGAGCCACGAGAGGGAGGTGGAGCCGTCTTTGATACTGGCCCCTCTACCTGCACCTCTTGGAAACAACGTCCCCTGGCAAAGTCCTCAGCTGAGATGATCCCCATCACCTCCACCTCCTTCCCTCCGATCATCAGGGTCTCTCCATCAGAGAGGGAGGCCAGCGTAGACACCTTGTAGCCGCTACCTACACACAAACATGCACAGGCATACACAATGAACATATGACAGTGTATTGAAAAAAAAGAGTTTTAAATGTTCAGTAAATCTACTTAAAATTGTACATCTTCCTTTCATTGTCCCAAAGTGACCACAAAATGTATGTATGTATGTATGTATGTATGAAATTAACATTTAAAGTGACATATGTTAAAGATTTGCTTAAAAGGACCAGTGTGTAGAATGCAGTGAGACCTAGGGATGAAGCCAATTGAATAACGCTAAACTCACCCCTCCCTTTTCAAGCATGTCAGAGAACTACGGTGGCCTTCAGGTAACAAAAATGCAAAAGGACCTCTCTAGATCCAGTATTACATTGGTTGACAGAAGATCATATAGAGTGGCTTAAATGTGTGTTAATTGTTCAAAGAGATGCCATAGTTTAGGGAAAGCGTTAACTAATAAATGCCTGAATTTGTTATGCATTTGGTGTAGACTCAAGTTATGGCTCAGTTGTTGGGTGTCTTTTTGATCAAACAGTTTAATCATAATCCCATTGGGATCCAGGAATTGCACAAAACTAAGCAAAAAGACAAAAGGGGTTTTTGGGGATTGGCTTTTTTGATGCTTTATCTGAGAGGCGGCTTACATTCTCAGACTTTGAAATCCCTTATCAAAAAGGTGACAAAAGCACAATTCTTTGTTTCAGGTGATAAAGCCTTATGAAAAACAAAGTTATGTATAACATATTTCTTTGTATGCCAATTGATACCTATGAATCTTACGTACTGGTCATTCAACTGTCACAGGGAAAGAAAACTGCCACGCCCCTCTTTCTCCCACCGAACTTAATATGACAATAAGTAAAGACTAAATCTAAACTGGGGTGTCTCTGTCTCACCCTTTCCAATGTCCTTGCCCTCCATGTCTTTCAGTGTGGCGGTGCGTCCTCTTGTAATCAGGACTGCATCGCCCTCCCAGCGCTTGTGTTTCTTCTTACTGGCTTTACACCACATCACACTGAGGTACCGCACCCCATCCTGACTGCAGCCAGAGTCTGGGCCTGCCGCTCCAGAAACACCGACTGACCCTGAAGTCAACTGAGGGTCACCATTCAATCCTGCAACACAAAGACATATAATTGTGAAAACAAAATAAATATCCAATACACACTTTGCATAACTCACCAGCAGGGGTCACTGCTGCACCAGTCCACACATCATACTAGAGCTTCATATCGAACATGATAGACCACTTCATAAATTCACAAGCACGAAAACTTAAGTGCTACTCATGCCATGTTAGAAATAAAAGTGTAAGGACCCTTTGCCATCGTGTGATTTTGACAAAAGACATGTAAATAAAACAACCAAAGTAAGAGATCTTCCTAAGGGAGGTTGAAATCATGAGAGCGAATGCATGTTTGTAATAAACACCAAAATCAGGAGTATTTCTTTTCTTTTTTTATAAAAACAAGTACACATAAGCACAAAGTGTAAAAGAAACTGACAACATTCATATACCAACAAACATTACAATACAATCAATGTCACATACATTAAATAACGATAACATCGCAAATTTAAGTCCACATTTTTTGATCGCCTAACTCGCCATTAATTCAGCAACCAGAGAGAATTATGACTTGAACTCACTTCGATGTAACTACAGCAACTCACAGAACAAGATTTGTCATCAGTAGCATCTCGTGTTTAAGGCCTTCAGTTGAACTTGTGCTTCAGTGCTGGGTTTCTGAACACTTCTCAGTACTTTGTTTTTTTGTGCTTATATTTCCTTGTTAACATACAGAATACTGTATAAGCGCCGCTAGCTTGGATACCTTAAAGTGCTACAAGATACTGGTTTTTTTTCTTCATTTGATTACATCTGATTCGTTAGATCAAGTGGATTTTTTCTTTTTAAGATACTCCAGTTAGTAGTGAATCATTAATAATATGCTTACAGATGCATACATCATAGGGGGCAGATATAGGCAGGATAAGCACCATCGTGGTACATGCCATTTATTACTAATAATATTCCTTTCAAAAAGTTGATATCACTTCTTTTTTTTTGTGCCTATGTTGGCTCTCACAGTGTTTATAATATGGGCATTTACAAGTTGTGTTACTGCTTCTATAAAAAGTGTAAATGAAGATACATTTAAACAATGACAAGTATACACACAGACTGGTCAGGCTTATCCTGCGATATGCAAACAGGCTTTCAGTGTTTGTACGAGGCACTATGTTTCCAAAAGAAATTCAAGTTCTGAAACAGCCCTCCAAATAAAAACTGATGAGTGTGATAGCTCCTCAGCTTCTTCTCCGCACTTTAAGCTCCTCAGAGCCTCTACTTTTCAAACACTGATGTGTGTGTTCATGGTCACTATAGAGGAATTGGCAGTCCGTGTCTCAGTCGAGCAGCTCTTAGTTTCTCCACTTTGATCTTGGCTCTCAGAAGTTCCTCCTCCAGATCCTGTTTCCTCTTCAGCCCCTCCCTCTTCTCCTCCAGGTACAGGGCAACCTTCTTGTGATTGGCTACCACCAACTCGTGCTCCTCTTTGGCGAGGTGCAGAGAGCGAAACCTGTCGGGTTCGTGGTGAGGGTAGAGGTTGTTGGGAAAGAGGTCGCAACGTAACGGTATCGGCGATGTGGAGAGGGTGATGTTCACGGAGGAAGTGACGGGGGAGAGGGATGCTTCGTAATCGTGAACGCTGCCCAAGTCGTGCTCTGCCTCCGGCTCCTGGCCTCCATCCAGCCCTGGCTCCGAGTGTGTGGAGAGGGTGGGGAGGTCTGGCGGTGGTTTTACATCCTCATCAGGGTCCAGCTGGACCACCTCATGGGGGATACTTGGGACAGCTGCTGAGTAATCCTGGAGTCCAGCCAGAGAGGAGCTGCTGCCAGGGTGTTCCACAGGAGAGTTGTGCTTGCTGTATATTAATCTACAAATGGAATAAAGGATCAAATTAAGTCAGACGAGAGTGCTTAACCAGCATTTTTTAAGGATCTACTGTCAAATAAGACTATACAAGAGGAAATTGGCGATTTACCAAAGTAAAAATAACACATTTATGCTGGTAACAAACCAACAGTAAATAACATTTTTCATTTTTATGTCTATGGCTCATTTTTGGTGCAGCTACACAACGAGTAGTATGCAGAGGCTCAATTCTTACGATACAATAAAGGTGTTGCAGATGGCGTGGTGCCATTTTGTATTCTCTGTGGTTCCTACATGTGACGTGAGGCATCCTAAGACATCTGATGTACAATTTTAAGTGTACATTACTCTCTGTACTCATCCAGGCTCAGAAAACACAGTTCAGATGAATGTTTTTTCTAAGTTGAATGATAAATTGTTCTGTTTTTTGTATTACGAATTATCCTTTCTTTTTTTGCTATTAACCCTTGCCAAGTCTTAAATAAACTGAAATGAAACAACAGGGTTTTTTGTCTTCTGTGTGCTTTCCTGACACAATATCAGTTGTTCTGCCAAATGTGCTTCCTTTATGTAGCACTGGAAAATTGGAACACGTTTAAAGAATTATTTTGGGGTGGAATTTTGTATTTGTAATTGCCTTTTCCAAACAAATAAAAACACTACAATTGACCTTAAATTAAATTGGTAGATTAATCAAAGAAAATCGTTTTTTATGTGGATAAAAGAAAAAACTACTAATGAGTAGTTTTCTTCCAGTAAATAACAACAGGACATACTGTATTTTCCTGTTGTGCCTGACGATGTACACAGTGTGTTATCTGATTGGTTTCGGAGCTGTGAGTTCAGCCCCTCCCCTCCCTCCTCTTCTAACAGATGAGTCAGTGTCCTGACTTAAAACTGTCAATGTTCTTGCTAAACTTTCAGCTGACTGTCGAGTTATACCTTTAGGTCTGTATTAAATGAGTGTCTGTGCTCGTGGGTGCATATCACACTGTACCTGCGCAGTGCCTGGTCCTTCTCATGGATGGGCACGTGCTGAAACAGGTGAGGGATCATCTCCATGATTCTCCTAGTTGGCTCAGAGATGCTCGATCTGTACTCTGGCTGGGCGTGTCTCCGCTGCATCACTTCCTGCTTGGCTGACTCCTTCAACCTCTTGTAGAGGGTTCTGAGGCCCTGAGCGGTGCGATGGGGTCTGTCTCCTCCCAAAGCGTTGTATAGCTCGGCAACAGTTTCCCAGCACTTGTTTTTGTCCACGATGACTGCATGCTTGTTGGTGTGTTCCTCCAGGATGCGGATGTGAGGACGGACCAGCTTCAACAGGTCCAGCTTCTCAGAGAGGGTGAAGTTGGAGGAGCGAGCTTTACCCACCATACTGGACAAAAACACAGAGCTGGATGCCATCTTATAGCATAGCGGTCCCTCGTAAGCCAAGTCCAGCCTATGGCTTTCTGCGTTCAGCAGCCACTCTCAAAACTGACGCTCCTTACTCTTCCCACCTGTCTTTTTTGTCCCTGCTGCTGGGTTATCCTGGTCCACGGTGATAAAACCAACTCTGGTCTCATTCCCATATATCTCAAATTTACCTTCTATACTACTTCTAAATCAAACATATGCTATTTCTAAAATGTGCATGGATTTATACTCTACTCCTAGGTTCCCTCTCAGCCACGTTGCACAACAAAAACAGCCTGTGCTGCACACAATAAGAATCAGGCTTAACTAGGCCAGCCTCGTTTAGGCCCCCGCCTACCGCGGAGGGCTTTGGATGAATTCCTCCCAGCTTAGGCTGACGTAGTTAAGCCGCTTAAGCCCAGCCCGACCTACTTACAGCTCGGTCTCTCTAAAACCCAAACCAAGCACAGCACAGAGCACAGCACTGCCTCAACATTATAAAATAGGGACGGCAACAGAAGCTCTGTGTCCTGCACAAATGTGTAACACTGCCTTTAATTAGTGTATTATTACAGGTTATTAGGGGTCAGGGGGTCTATTTTCCCAAAGTGAGTGACGCTTTGATGTAGCGCTGGTTTAACTATGTGAAGGGGGAGGGGTTTGCGAGCGAGCTGCGCGTGCCCGCGGGAATATCATCGTTTATCAATTTTCAGTCGCCTACAGTGAAGGAAGGTTACAAAAATAACGATTCATATGATTAAAAAATGTGTTTAGGGAATGCGTATAGAAAGGATACTGAGGCGAGCACAGAGTGGTGTTTTGTGAGGAAAACAGCGGCACTAGTTGCTCGTGCAGGAAGAGGCGGCTCACTGATCCCGAGCACAGTCCTAATCTTCCCCGCGCTGCCGCTGCACTACCCCGCTAATTTACATAATGCTGGACCTGCTGTCACTCAACCCGCCCGGTTTAACATCCAGCCCTCGTGTGTGTTTGTGTTTGTGTTTGTGTGTGTGTGAGTGTGTGTGTGTGAGTGTGAGTGTGTGTGTGTGTTATTATTAGCCATAGAGGCAGGACAGTCGGGCACTGCGGAATAGGAGAGCGGTGTTACATGATGCGGCTTCTCACGGGTTTTACGTATAAACTTGTGAAAATCACTCAATGGACATTTAACTGGAGCACAACTTTGCCGGTTTATTATAGAGTAGTCAAATCAAGGAAAAGCATCGATGATGTGACGGTGGAGGTGATGTTTACAAATGCATCTAACTGTGTGTGATTAACCATGTGGAGAGAAGGGGGCAAGCGTTATTGGTTTGACAGTGGTTGTGCATCCAAAAAGTAACTGAATGAACAACAAATAAGTATTCTTCACATGCATTTTAAGATTCTGCAACCAAAGATAATAACTGTGCACTAATTAATTTAGTTAAAGTTATTCACAATACTTGGCATGAGTACCAGAGAGCATACATTCAAATTTGCATAATTTTTATTTTTTTTAATTATTTATTCTACTAATTCATCCAAAAAAGAAAAAAGTATAATTCATACACACAAAGATAAACAAAATTAGTAGAAGCGGGAGGGCTGAAGCATAGCTTATGGGAAGTAGCCCTCCCGAGAATCATCCTAATATAACATTGGCATTATTGCGTCAAAAAAGTATAGAAATTATGGAGTACAAAGAAATAAAGAAATAAAGAAAAACTAGGGAAAAAATAAATAAATGCATATATATATATATATATATATATATATATATATATATATATATATATGAAAACTAGATATAGGGTCATTTTCTGCACATGTCAATAGCAGTTGACTATCTTTTTTGAAAAGGAAAATACTATATATAAAAATATATATAAGGACATGTGGCAAATAAATAATAATAATATATGCATATAATAATATATGCATATAAACATTGTGGACACTTATTTTCAAGTGACTTTTTTTATGTTCACACATACACAAAATATACATAAGCACCATATGTTCAGGTGTATAAGTACACAAATGCACTCATATACACCAATACAAATATTACAAGGCAATTTCCAGGCCTGAAATAATAATTCAACCGCATAACGATGAAAATAAATAAGAAGGAACAAATAAATAAAAAGTAATGTAAACAATATTAAATAAATAAACAAACTGAGAAGTTATTATTTCTAAAAAAATTAATTGATTCTGGGAATACCCAATATTTGTTAGCTGGAGTAATCTGCAAATATACATTTTTTGAATTTAGTTTTGAATTGTTGATGACAAGTGATACTTGAAAGTCTGAAGTCCATTCCACGTTCTAACTCCGATTATGGATAAGCTGTTTGATTTGATGGTTGTTCTACAGGGCTTGCTACACAACCAGTTAGGATGCCTAGTTGGGTATTTCCTGACTGTGGTTTGGAACTGCTTTTGAATGTTATTAGGCATTTTGTTATGGAAAATGTTGTGCATAATCAGTATTGTTTTAAGCTTTACTCTGTCAACACATTTTAATAGATTGAGTTTTTTTAAATATGGGAGTTGTATGTTCATATTTACCAACACCACAGACTATTCGTAATACTTTTTTTTGGGATGTTATTATTTTTTGTAGATTTGTTGATTATGTGTTTCCCCATATTTCGGAGCAGTAGTAAAGGTAAGGGAGAAATAGACTGTTATAAAGAGTTCTGAGTATTTGTTCATCGAGAATGTTCTTAGTATGACACAAAATATCTATTGTTTTTGACAGTTTAGTTTGTACATAATTGATATGGTGCTTCCAGTTGAGTTTTTCGTCAACAAGCAGTCCTAAAAATGTACATGCACCAACTTTTTCTATCTCGGTATTTGTACTCTCAGACTTTGTATTGAATAACATGTAATTTGTTTTGGCCACATTAAGGGATAATTTATTAACTGCAAACCAGTTACATAGTATTTCTAATTCCGCATTCACAATTTTAACAAGATCGCCAAGATTATGATGGGAGCAGAGAATGGTGGTATCATCGGCAAATAAAATGAATTTTAACAGGTCCGAGGTGTTGATAATGTCATTAATATAAATCAGAAACAGTTTTGGACCTAAAATTGATCCTTGTGGGACTCCACATGTTATAGGAAGCTTGTTTGATTTTGCCTCGTCTATATCCACATATTGTAGCCTATTTATCAGATAACTCTTAACCCATTATTTTGCTTGACCCCTTATGCCATAATGTTCTAATTTGTGTAACAGTATAGTATGGTTCACAGTATGCAAAGCCCTTTTAAGGTCAATGAATATACCAGCTGTAATCATTTTTTTCTCAATGTTGTTGGTAATTTCTTCAACCAGTTCAATTACTTCTGAAGAAGTAGAGTGATTTTTCTGAAATCCATATTGGCTGGGGCGTAGTATATTAAATTTGCTGAGGAATGACTCCAGACGGTTGTTGAAGAGTTTTTCCAAGATTTTTGAAAATTGTGGCAGTAAAGAAATGGGTCTATAGTTATTAAGACTTAATTTATCACCAGATTTGAAAACCGGAATCACCTTCGCGATTTTCATTTGATTGGGGAAAATACCTTGTTGGAACGATTTATTGCATATATTTACTAGGGTGGCTACAACGGTTGGTGCAACTTGTTTAACAATATTCATACTTAGTCCTAAATAATATTTGGACTGTTTACTGTGTTGAGTATTAACAATATCAAGCAGTTCTTTATCTGTTATTGGGTTCGAGAACATACTACTACGATTTGATATTTTTTGTATCAGTTCATACACATGTAGACCATGTTCAAAGCTAATTGTCATATCTCCCAATATGTTAATATGTAGTTCAGTGATATGTAGGTTTCCAGACAGCCTTTTCATTTTTGTATTGCAGATGATGTCAGATAACATATTATGTAATAGTGAAATAGGTACAACAAGAAGCATTTAATGAAATATGTGTTCCCCTCACTCTCACAGTACTTTACACAACCATACCTATAACAAAAGCAGCAGGGACAGCACCTGTTCCAACGTGGATTTGTTGCACAATCTGCACATGACTACTGTTGCCCGTAATATCCCAGCCACAAGTCACTGTGTCTTACCTTCGGGTCCGTTGTCTTCGGAGTACCCTTCTGAAACAGTGGTAGGATGTTTTGGCTCATTTTCCTTACTTTCTGCCACACTGAGAACACGAGCCAGGGCCCTTGACAAGGTTGGAGCAGGATGGGCAGCTTTGGGCTGGGCATCAACCTCTGTTTTACCCAAAGCTGGTGCTGTTAGACTTCTCTGGACCTGCAGAATGAGAAGGCAAATTAAAATTAAACAACAACACTGGATGATAAATGATGATTAAGGGAATCAAACGAATACTGAAATATTATACTGTAGGTTAAATGTTGTGAAAATGTTACCTTTTCCAGTGCATTGCCTAAACCAAGTTTAGGGCTAAGGGGCTTGAATTCAGCTGTGAGAAAGGAAGGAGATGCTCCAGGGGAAACAAACCGAGGCTTTTTCACAGCGTTGCCTGAGAGCTGGCTGGGAGCTCCTGAGCGTCGCATGATGCTTCTGGCAACTAACAATCGTTTATATCCTAAAGACAGAAATGTATTATTATTAATACAGTAATTGATACCGGCAACTCATTAGGTTCTAGTCGGCACTACACCCAAGGACCTATCGAAGCTCTGACAAAATTACAAATATGTTTTTGTTCAACTAAATAACAAAGTTTATTTTTCTATTAAACTGTTGGTTGCCTCGTCCTCAACAGGAAGAAGGTAAACTATTTATGTATACATTCAGACCAAGACAAAGGGAAATACAAATCTCATAATACTTCATGATGATCAAATTCATTAAAGCTTTAAGACACAATTAAAAAAATATTCTAGTTGTACCATCACAATTACAGCTCAACCCAGTGATATGTTGTTCTCAAAAATCCCGTGTCAGGTTCTTAGTTTTACTGATTTTAAGAAACAAAATCTACATTATAATGTTGGTGTCACTTGACTCTACATCAGTCTAATAGTTATTATGTTAACACTGTGTCTTCTACTTGTCTGAATAGACATCATGTAATGACTTAATGCCATTCACTCCCAATATTTTTCTATATTAATCTGGTTGACAATAGTATAACCCTAAGCTTTCTATCATTTTCAACCTCTCTGAAAGGCTTGGACATGATACACCTGGTTAATTTAAAATGACTAAAGGATCAAGCTCTACCTGCATAAACCCTCTGCATCACAGTGAGTGACATGTTAGCAAGCTAGTTTCCCAGCTAGCTAACAACAATCGCTAACACTTGTGACAATATTTAAACTCGGCTTTATAATGTCATGTTTGATAATGGGTGACAACGTGTCGTACATACCCGGTCGGACTAAACGTCTAATGAAAACATTTAAGATGATAGAATAGCAGCGTTTTCCAATAAAAAACAATCGTCCTGTCTTTCTTTCTAAAACTCTCGATTCTGTTCGGGTTCTCCCGCTGAATTATTTGAAGATCGTGATTGGTTGAACCACGGCAGTGGGCGTGGTCATATTGAGTTGGGTGCGCTTGATTTTATTATCGCAGTCATTTTCTTTTCACGGTAACATTGAATTTCCCCGTTCTGTCATTCCCTGGGTTAAAAATCGAGCACACCCATTACCACCCTGTGCTGACCTCACGTCCCCATCACGTCCCCCCTTTAAAAACATCAGAATCAATCTTGAGATGATTACGTTTGTTAGGTTTTGCATATCGTTATTATTATGATACTTCCAATAAGGGTAAAGTCAGGAGCACGAGTCCGGGTACCTTTGTATCAATTGTTTTTCTTTCTTAAACCAGTAAATTGCTTTTTTGTCTTAGATTTTTCAATATTAAATGGCCAAATTATTTTTGTTCGAGGGGCAGGGCGGAACTCTCTGAAGTAATTTCATAACAAAAGCCCTCTTGTGGTAAAAGACACTTAGTACACTATTCTTAACAATATAGGCTCCAAAAGGCATTTAAGCCGGTCTCAACGGCCTATGTCCAACGATATCTTAAAACCTTTACCTATCAGCTACTGTCGTTTACCAGACGAGGGCTTTTGTTTTGAAATGACTTCCGAGAGTTCCGCCCCGCCCCTCACCAAAGATCCTTTGCTCATAAAGTCATACATCTATGAATTAAGCAAGGTAAAATAGGTATAAAGCATAAACAAATAAACATTGCAGTCGCTTTTGAAAAAAAGTGTTTTAAAAAGGGGAAACTGTTAATTTTACTTATATTTAAACCAATAAAAGTGATATAACACTTACTGGTGCCTTTCCTTTGTTTTAAACAAAGAGTAAGAAACACATTTTTTTGTGGTTTAAAAAAAATAAACTTGTAATGCACATCTCATTCCCAAGAGGGAAGACAAAGTATGACATTACTTCATTGGATATGTCAATGGACACATTTATTTAACTTGTAATTGAATATGATTTACATTATGGGAGGGCCCATTTTCCTTTCTTTTTGTTAAGGATCTGATTATTTCTTCCACCAGTAAGTCTGTCAGAGCTTTAGGTTCATAATATATGGAGTGCTTTTTGCTTTTTGTGGTCTGACTATGTGTCATCTGACGTTGTGTAGTCTGTAATCCAATCAGAGGGAGAGAGAGAGAGTGTAATCCATGTTAATCCCACATCCAGAGAGCGAGAGAGTAATGTAGAGTAGTGTGAGTCATTAAGACAGACAGAAAACAGTGGAAGGACAGCAGTAATCTCTGAAGACACCACAATCTTGTATTGTATGTATTGGTGAGACAATGATGAAAAACACACTTCTGCAGAATGTGTCTGTTTTTTGGGTGTCTGTTCTCCTGTAATTCTGCCTGAGTCTCTGATCTGATCTCGTCTGACAGCTGTCTGCCTGTGTCCTGAATGCTGGTTGTCAGGGATACCTCTCCATGGAGACACACTCCCAAAGGTGGAGGGGAGGGCTTTAAGGGAAAGAAGACCCTCACCTTGATGGAGCCACAAGTCGAAAAGAGAGAATGAAGACAAATAGATTGTTGTAGTTGTGCAGAGATAAGAGGGAAGATCTCTTGAGGTGGAACAAGTGGATTCAAATCAACCAAACGAAAGAAGAAGAACGAGTTTGATGAAGTTATTTTGTCAGGTAGGAACTTTATTGTTATTATTTTAGGTTGTTATATATATTATGGATGGTTAAGGGAGACATTACAGGTGACAAAGGTAAACAAAAAACTACATCTAATAGATATCACCATGACACTTCCCCAGTAGATTGCATAAATTAAGTATGTATACAAGTATACATATGCAAATAAGGCACTACATAGGTACTAACCTGCAAACATTTATTGAACCAGAAGTAGAAAATAAAACCAGGATCCAAATTCTTGTTTTCATTTTGTTTACATACGTACAACGTTTTTGTACAACGTTTATTTAACAGAGGAAATTCTGGTTAAGAGTAAAATAAATTAACTAATTCTGAGAAAATTCCCTTTAAAGATAATTATTTTAAAATGTCATAATGTCATTAAGCAAGACATGACAAGTTAATATGGTTAAACTTCCCCAGTTGATTACTTTAAGTGAAATATAGTGTTTTGTTTAAATATGCAAATGAGGCATGCTTTAAAGCTAACTTTGAGTGAATTTAGGAAAATCTACAGACAAAGTGACGTAAAATAAACACCTAAATGTTGATTTTGGAGGTTTTCTTATTCCACTTATCTAAATGTAGACATGTATTGGAAGCCAGCCACATACCCCAAACCCAAACCATTAAAAAAAAAACTCTGTTTACCAAAGCATGAAAGATAGATGTGTTTGCCTGCAGTGTCTTGCCTTCAAACAAAGGAGAAACAGATGAGAGATTTGTGTTCTTCCCTTAACCTTTGCCATTTCTGTATAATCGGTCTGTGTGGTTGTAGGATGGGCTATGATCTGGAGAGGTTTGTAGGCTATGTGAATGAGGGTCTCCTGTGCTGTGTGTGTCGAGACGTGTTGGAGCGCCCCCTGCAGGCGCCCTGTGAACACGCCTACTGCAGCGCCTGCATCAGCAGCTGGCTGCTCCATCACCACTCCTGCCCCGAGGACAGGATGCCCCTGGATGTGGGCAGTCTCAAACCACTGTACAGGTCTGTCTCTGTAAATGTGTGACATTTATTAACTCTGTATTGTAATGCTCATTCTTATAGGCTCAGTTTACCCCAAAATACAAACAACTCATATGTTTCCTCTCCCCTTTAGTTCTATTTATCAATCTAAATGGTTGTGGTTATGACATGCCGATTGTTGGAGATATGAACCCAAAGATGTCTGCTTTCTTTCAAATGTAATGGAACTACATGGCACTCAGCTTGTGGAGCTCAAAATGCCAAACATGTACATTTAAAAAGTCTCTGTCCAGAAATCATGACACAGTTACTGAAGATAATCCACTTTTTTGTGAGCATTTTCATTTAGGAACTATTTGCACGAGTCCTAGTTCTACTACAAAGCATAAGGAAGCATGCTTCTGCTCATGGACGAGACACTCATTTAATCAAGTGTCACTTGACAATATTTAAAAAACGTATATGTTTACACATAATATATACAGAGCCTCATAATATTTGTTAAAAGGATAAAAAAAACAATTTCTGTGCTCATACCAAAACAATATAGATTACTCAACTACAGGTAGGTGAAATATATAGGCGGTTTCTGATTTTGGGGTGAACTGTCCCTGCAGGTTTCACAAGTCCTTCTTACTATTGAGTGGTTGACACATGTACTGATCTCTGTGCTCACCTTTATTTCTCTTTATTTTCTCTGCAGGTACATGCGTAATGACCTGAACCGCCTGCAGCTCCGCTGTCTGAATGCAGCTCAGGGCTGTGAGGTGGTCTGCTCCCTGGAGAGCCTGCACACACACGAGGATGAGTGCGAGTTCGCCTACATTTCCTGCTCAAACACAGGTATGGTACCTCACACTGAGCTCATGTGTTATTTGTTGTGTTTATCGGCAGTGTTTGTATCTTCTTGAATGGTTATCCATGTGTGGATGTGAGGGATATAAAGGTAATGTGACACCTGTGAGTGGGAGCAACAGGTGGCTCTTTTGTTGTCATGGCTACCTCCCAAACTCGTGCACCTATGGGACTCCCACAGACCTCACACAAAGTGCATTCAGGGTCAACTTTCCATCACTCTTTAATGAGCAATTTAAAAGTGTGTATGTATATACAAGCATATGCTCTTGTGCTCACTTTGTGTCTGTGACCTGTCGTTGGCAGGTGGAGAGTACATATGTTACCGCTGTGGTAGGTACAGTTACAGTGTGTGTGCATGCAGTGTGGCTTTTTGCAGTGTTCAGTACTACAAGCACTTGAAGCAAAAGAACATTTTACCTGATATTTCTCTTGCTGTCTGTGACTGCTGTGATCTTTAAGAAGTATCAAATTTGGTCTAAAATGAGACTAAAGTGCAGCGAAGAGTGAAGGAAGTTGGGTTGGTCAATATGTTAGCGGTGGAAAACTGTTTCACATATTCTCCTTATACCACATTCTTTTTTCCTTTTTACACTCTGCTTTAGTAGAAATGACATGTGACACGTATTGATTTTTATTTTATAAACACATATAATTAAATATATTTAAAGAAATATTGTGCATTAGAGGTTAGAATCCAAAAGTGGCTTATCAAGATATTTGCAGTATTCAATATATCTTGGCATAATTAAATAAATAGGATACAAAATATATATATATATTGAAAGACAGTGTGTTGCTAATCAACATCCTTTTTAAAATTGGTAAATCTACTTCTTCAGAGGAAAAAACATGCTTCATGTGGGGCCTATCCATCTGTGCTCCCTGCAGGTTGTCCTGTGCAGGTGGAGAGGCGGGGTCTGGAGGCTCACCTGTCAGAGTGTAACTTCCGCAGCAGGGAGTGTCTCAACGGCTGCGGACACACACTGCTCCCCATCGACCAATCACAGCACAACTGTGTAGCAGAGCTGCGCACAGAGGTGGAGCTGCTCAGGTGTGTGGTTGTGAAAATGGCTTCACTGTCTCTTAATCCTTAACTCAGAAGTAATTGCTGCAGTTTAGTTTTTTAGTAATTAATGTCCTACTGAATGCTTATGGCAGGGCAGAGATGCTGTGCAAGGTGGAGGAGGTGAGGCGAGAGATGGAGTCTCGGTTGGACTCGCAGAGGAGACACATGGTGCAGAAAGAGTCGCAGCTGAAGAACGACGTGGAGGAGCTCAAGGTGACCAGTCTCATGTTTTTAACTCTGTATTTCAAGGTAACAACAGCAAGGCTGAAGTAAAGATTCAAGGGACTGTCATTTAATCAAGTTCCCAGTGAGAGCTTTAACAGCACATTTAAAAATGGTTTATTAATTTGAACATTAACAGTACCTTTGAATATTCCACAAAATATTTTTTACATTCATTTAGTATTTGTTCTTAAACATACTTTCACATACGATGATCTTAATCAGCAGTCTTCTTGGAAATGTTGATGTTTTTAGTTTAATTTCAGTTACACTTTAGTTGCAATTCTGTATTAAGTACAATGTTTAAAATAATTATTTATGTTATATTTATGAGGGAGAAAGAACTATAGATGGTTTTAAAGTTGAGATTCAATAGGAAAATTATTCTTAAATAAATGCTGTTAAGGAAATGAATAATTTAGTACTTTAAAGTGACAATTTTCCAGGGAGTTTATTTTTTAATGTTGGTCTTCAATTATTACTCTTTCAATACATATTTCTCAAGTAGAACTACTTTTAAGACCTAAATGTTTTATCCACCTCTGTCAATAACATGCATGCTCAGTGATCTTCTCATGTCCTCTCCTCTCAGGACCAGCTGTCCCGTGTGATGTGTGACATGCGAGCGCTGCTAGGAGCAGAGCGTCTGAGGAGGCAGGAGCTGGCTGAGGCCGAGCTGGAGAAGAGGGAGCTGCTGGAGCTGCTCAGAGACCTGCAGCCAATCAGGAGCCAGCAACCTGTGGACCATCAGACCCCTGGGTGGGAGCTCCACACTGAGCCAATGAGACCCCAGCAGAGGGAGGCTTCTCTACATGCCTCCAGTCCGTCTCTACATTCAGCCCAGAGCCCCATAACAGGGGCCCCCCCCTCCCCTCTGCTGGGCGAGGGGACGCGTAAGGGCGGGACCAGGAGCCTGACTCTGGACTGCATCAAGAGGAAGAACCGGGAGGTGACGGTCATCTGAGGGGAGACTGGACTGCTGGGGAGTTATCCCTTCCAGAAAAGATTAAATGCATATTTTTCTGTTTAGTAATGAAATAGTGTTTGCACAGTATGTTGGTGCTCATCACTTATCATTTGGTAAAGAAAATATAGATGATCTGCTGTGGAATGAACCATGTTGTGGTTGAAAGGTTAATACATGTTGTAGACTAACCACTGATATGATCTGCTGACAGAAAATGTGGCCCTGAATTTTGTATCCCTCAGGTTTTTAAATTAAAAAAAGTGTGTTAAAGGCAATTTCTTTGAATTCTAAATTATTCATGTTTTCCTCATTAGTGATCGGTCTGATTACATTGGCTTAAGAACGTATGGTTCTGAGTGTCCTGTAAGAACTGGAGGTCCTGGTTTGGCAGTTTGCAAAGGCATGTTTTTTGTGTTCAACTTGGGTTGTATATTATGCATCTTACTGTCACACAAATGTGTACTTTGTCCGCACTTTAAACTTATTTAATACGCCAACGTTTATCTTAATATTTTCTAAATGGCTGCCCTGGATGCAATGCAGTCTTTTCACGCTCTCATTTCCCATTGTTGTCATGCACCTTGGAGAACCTTGAATGAGGTGTAATTCTGCATTTATATTAAAGCACGATAAGGCTAATAAGTGCAATGATAAAAGCGTGTTAACTTTAAACAGTTAGCCGTAAAATCATTATTTCATTTGGTGTAAAAAAAACAAGGCTCAGTTGCTATGACCTTTATTCTCCAAATACAACTCATGATAACAAAACATAAAACATCAACACAAACTCGGTACGTCATTGTGACAACATCATCCCACCACGTTTCCATGGAGACAGTATATATAATATCCTGATTGGTCCATATGTTGCCATGAAAGGCTGCAGTCATTGCCCAGGTGGATTTACCTGGTGAAGGAACGCACATGTCTTCCCCTCCCACCTCCGCTACCTCCCCCTCCACTGAATTTACTCCCCTGAGAACCTCTTCCTCCTCCTCCCTCCTCCGCCTCCCCCACCGCCTCCTCCAGCACTGCCGCCTCCCCCTCCTCCTCCTCCTCCCCCTCCTCCTCCTCCACCTCCTCCTCCGCTCAGCCACGACAGCCCGGCGCCCCCCCTCCCCCGCTGGGCTCGGTCCCGTGGAGCCAGCCGATACGCACCTGGAGACAAAAACACTGCATTATTAGTTCAGTGTTTAAAGATCCAAAGTGCAAATCAAGTGTGTGTGTGTGTATTGGTTTGGGGGTTTAGGTTTCTTACTTGCTGGGGGTTGTCTGGAGGGCATGGGCCCCCGTGTGAAGTTGCTCTGCCCCCCGCGGGGTTCACTGTAGGTTCCTCTGTGGGTGACTCCTGGAATTTGGCCGCTCCACGATGAACCACGGCCCCCTTCTCTGCGAGTGTAGTTACCTACAGAACCAAAATAGAAGATTTAGCTCCCTCTAGTGGCCAATCAGTAGATCTTTCCTGCAGTATGCTCCAACAAGGAAGAAATGTAATGAACTTTACGGGAAGGAATACAAATAATATGACCTACACAATAGGGATACGACTACTTTACGTATTTGTATTATTACTCATAGTATTCTGTGACAATTATTCTATTAATTGATAAATGTTTAAGCGGGCAATTGGTCCAAAATGGCAATCCAAACATCTCGAAGCCGAATGCGACGTCAAATGTCATGTTTTTCTTTTACCAAAAGTCCCATATTTAGTTCACAATGATATAGGACAAAGAAAATAAGGAAACCTTCTCATTTAAGAAGCTGGAACAAAACCACCATGTGTTGTGTGATCGCACGAGTTATAATATCAACAACTAAGAAATCTTTCTATAACCAGCGAGTGTCTGTGTGTACGTACCGGACAGCAGAACCCCTTTGGGCTGTGGTGGAGTGAAGAAGCGAGTCTGGCTGTGGAAGGTGCCCCTGCCTCTGTTGCCAGTGAACAGTCCTCTGGTGGGGGGTTTTGGGGAGCTCTTGGGGGGCCGTTTAGGAGGCAAAAGTCCAAGAGGAGTCCCAGTGTCTTTAAACTCCGCCGCCACAAAGTCATCGACGTGCATACTGGGAGGACGGGAGGTGTTCTGTTTGCGCTGGCGGAAGATATCGTGTGGGCGGTTGAGATTCTGTCCGAACCCTCCTCGACCTCCACGGCCGCGAGGAGCTGCCATGATGTGCGCTCGCTTTGCCGGCTCGATGTAGTCCGACTTACCGCTGAAGAGACAAACACAATAAATAAAGACGTGAGTTTTTTGCACAATATACGGAACACATATAGAAAGAAATAGACCAAAACACTGGAGCTATACCTTGTAATAAACGTCTCATGCTTGTGTTTGCCAAGTCGGAAGCCTTTGGGAGCCTTAGAGTGACCCGGGGAGGAGGGCTCCGACAGGAAGGAGCGCTCCAGCTCGGCCTTCAGGTCCAGTTCTGGACAACACTCCTGAGCCAGACCCACCAGATCCACCTTCACCTGCAACACAGACACAGCGGCAATTATAGACAGACCAACACAGTGCTTCATAACCTTGCAGCATCAGCATCATGTGTAATTCAGTTTTTATTTTTACGTTTCCAAGATTCATGTGTGTAAGTGAAGATCCAAAAAAAAGGAAGCATGAAAGCATAATTAAAAAGAACTTGGCAGTGAAGAAAGGAAAGAAAGGAACTTTACAAAAACACTTGAAAAACCACTGCATGGAGATTAGCACATTTTACAATAACAAATCTGTATATGAGCTGCCACAATATGACTAATCGATGAGTCAACAGAAAAACAATTACTTTACATTTTAATAATCAATTAATCCTTATAGTAAATTTTAGTAAAATAATCTAATTAATGAGATTTCATGTGTTTCTCTCTTTTATGTCATATTAAACTCAATATCTTGGAATTTTGGAGAGAAAACATTTAAAGGCATTACCTTGGATTTTGGGATATACATGTCTCTATATTTACTGACATTTTATATTAATTAGATTTTACATTCATTGGCAGATCAATCAATAATGCAAACAATAGTGAGTTGCAGTGGGATTTACATTTTTGCCATAATGTATTGAAAGTGCATACACACTTACCAAATCAAGGTCTGCTTCGATGTCGTCAGTCTGGAACGGAGAGAACCAGAGGGTCTTCAGCTGCTCATCCAGAGCTTCGGACAGAATGAACACTGTCCTACGGAAAACAAAGAGACAGAGACAGGCAGGCATATTTATTATCACATCCATACTGTAATAAGTGCAGGTGTAGTTTCAAAGAAGGGTGTATTGCATTTAAGACAGGTTTGTTTAAAAGTGACATTTCCCTGGCTGGTAGGGTAAGTGCCTCCCTGTGACCGATGACTGCATTTGGAAAAAGGGAGAGAAAAATGATAGAGAGAAAAAAGATGTCATTTTGTACCTGTGATTAAACTGAGCCCCGAGGGTCTCGGGTGCTGGCAGAGTGGGCTCAGTGTCGACGGCAGGTGGAGAGTCAGTGGCCGTCTCCAGCGTCTGCCTCAGAACGACCACAGTCTCCAACATGGTCTCCAGGGAATCGTCCTCCTTACATAGTTTCTACAGACATGAGTTACAGAGTTAGTTAACTGCCATCATCACTTACTTTGCAAAAAGCGTTACACTTGTGTTTGATTCGTACCGTAATCCTTTTCTCTAAAGTAGGGAGTGGGTGGGACTCGGCCCCCTCCCACTGCAGCAGAGCTTTCATCTCGGAGCCCGACAGCAGCCGCTGAGGAGTGAAGGCTGACTCCTCCCCCGTCCCGTGTGTCTCGTCCACACACTGCAGGACAACACAGACAGATACAATAATAAAATACAACGATCACATATTATACTCTACAAGACATATTAAGTCTTGCACGGTTAATTATTAGTACACACCTCCAAAATGCTTAAAAAAAAACTAACATAAAGCACGGTTTGATTTTTAATTCTTAAGGAATTCCAAATATATTTTATAATTTCTACAGGTGGACATGTCTTGGTACAATGTCCTGTCTTGTTTTTTGACTGCCATTAAAACATTATTCAGGTTACTGACCATTGTTTCTGTGTGGAGGATCTGTCTGAGGAAGTCGAGCAGAGCTGAGAGCAGATCTGCCGAGTCCTTGCTGAAGGCTAACACCAATCTCTTCAACAGCGAGCAAAGACCAGCGCCATGTTTCTTCAGAGCTCTGAAACAAAGATAAAGAGAAATAAAGTTATCTACCAGAGACAGTGTTGGTGATGGCAAGAAACAAGGAGGGGACTGTCATTTACACTTTGAAGTGGTAGAGTCCGTAGTCGTGCTCGTTGAGGAATGTCAGAGTCCTGATACAGGTGAGGAGGAGTGGGACGCTGCTCTCTGCGTTCCCCAGAACCTCCAACAAGCCGTTGCACACCGATGAGATCATCTCTCGCCCTGGAAGGGAGTTGGCCAGCTGCTCAGCCTCCGACATGCAGCTTTCACCAGGAGGAGACACCACCAGAGAAATGTCCTGGTGAAGGGAATTCAGAATTTTAGGTTTGTCCTTTTCTCTGTCAAGACTTTATCACATTATGTTATAACCAAGCACTCGAAAGGCCTCTGTCTTGTAACTATAGATGCAATGGGAAATAATATTGATTTATGGGATGCCTTTACACCACAACAATCAGTGTTCATTTATAATTTGATTATTTTAACTTTAATTGTATGTTTGATCATTATTAGTTAACTACTAGCCTCTGTCCTCTTTGTGTGTGGTGTGAGGCAACAGACAAATATGACGTTGGGATTTGTTTCATTTCTACATTTTAAAAGATTGTTGGTTTACATGAGTGACTGTGTAGAAGAAAATCCAAGCATTTTACACATGGCATCTTCAAATATAACCATATTCCTAACATTGAAAACATAACAGTTTAAGGTGTGTGAGAGCCCGGCACTCTGCTTACCTGGTCACACAGTGACTGTAATATTGTCCCCACTAGTTCGCTGCATTGCTGCTTGGGTAAGGAGCGGTCCGCTGGAGGAACCAGCAGAGCCAGCATGGGGGGGAACAGATCGGCCAGTTGCTCGTCTCCGGACACAGAGCCGGACAGCAGGTGCAGCGCTGCGCTCTTACACGCTTTCTGTGACACCAGGGCGTCCATCAGAGAGAGCAGCCGCAGGACTTGGCCCCAGCACACTATCTTCCCCTCAGCACTGCAGTGAGCACATTGCATACAATTAAAATACAATTCTCATTTTAAACTCACACAAATGAAATTCACTAAGAATGGACGCAGCAGCTTACAGCGGCAAGAATTGCAGAAAAAACAAAAAACAGCTATCTGTTCCGTTTCAAGGTCAAATTCACAAAAGATATTGCACTAATGCGATTGCAGAACTAACCCTTTCATAAAGTTGCTTTTGGGTCAATAACACCACAGAAAAACACTGCTTAATAACTGTTTTTGCTATGAAATGACACAGAAAGGAGCCAAATGTATGCATGTTGCCTAATTTAAACGTATAAAGAGCACAGGAGTACTGAGATTATATCTGATTGCGAGTGCAGTAGGTGTGCACTTCAGCCTTTCAAAATGACAGGTTGTCTTATGCAGGTTTAGTGGCCTGTAAAGCTGCATAGTTATTTCCTAAATTCGCCCCTTGAGTGTGTGTTTTCACTTACGGCTGCAGCTCCTCCAGCAGCAGCTCCAGCAGGCTCTTCATGATGAGTGTTGCCGTGGGTGAAGAGAGGTCAGCCAGCTGAACACACATCCTCCTCAGCATGGCCAGGAGGGGGGGGCAGCTGGTGGCGCACGCACACCTCAGAGCCTCAGAGAACACTTTCCACTGCGCCCGTATGTGCATGCTCCACAGCTTCCTCGTGTTCAAGGCTACCGCTACATCTTGGACTGATATCACCTGTGGAACCAAAAGACTATTCATGTTTGCGTGTAGATATATATTTTAATGTTAAATATCCAATCCAGTGTTTACGTATATTCAGTGGAACACCTCTGTGAGTCCATGAACCAACCAACTGTCTGGTGCAGACTTTAAAGAGTTGAGAACATCATCTGGTGCTATATAATTGTGTTTGACAGAGACTGCAACCCTTTAGCCTATTCATCATGCTAAGGCCTTGGGAATCAGTGCATATTTGTTTCAGGTCAGATAGGGGACCAGTATGATATATTGAGCTACCTGAGTGCTCTGCATTGGCAGTGGAAGAGGCAGGAGCTCAGACAGCAACGTCAAACCAGAGAAGAGCCCTTCAGGAGCCTTCAGCAGCGAGCCCAAAACCTCTTTCAGCATCAGAGACCAAGTGTTACTGGCCAGAGTCTCTTCTGTGTGAGTCACCTGCACAAAACACACATGAAGACCTAGATTAATGACCATTTATGACACTTTTAGTCCAATATTTACTTCAACAGAAGTGCTAATACTCTTGCTCATTCACACACACACCTCTTCATTAACACCCTGTGTGAAGGTGAGCAGTACGTCCACGATGAGCGCCTGCACTCGAGTCTCCTCTCCGTCTAGACGTCCGGATGCGGGGATGGAGCAGACGATCATGTGGAGCGACACCAACACACTGGCCACGCGAGTGTCCCTGAATTGGAACGCTCCCCCACGCAGGAGCTCTGTCAGCATGGTGCGCAGCAGTCTCAGTGTGCTGATGCAGATACTGATGATCATGCAGCGCTGCGGTGTGGGGCCCATGTGTCCGTGCACACGCCACGGCTGCAGCAACAGGCTGCACAGCTTCTGAAGGACACGCACGCACGTGTCCAGACCCTCGCCGGAGAACAGCTGGACCCCTGCAAGATTCCACTTCAGATCCCTCTGCTGACCTGTGGAAAGAAGATACAATCAACGATCATGAACACAGTAACCAGCGTTACAGCTTAGAAATAATACCCTGTAGAGTGTTTGACCACCAGTAGCTATTAGTACACATTACAGCCAATGGTCTCTCACTATTACACTAACCTATGGGTGGGGATAATCGCAGAGGAACAGGCTTGTAAAAGCAAAAGCAGAGAAGATCTCTGTGCTCTGAAATCATGTTTGTTTACCTCGGTTGATTACATTACTTTTATATTTGCATACATATAGATATACTTTATTCATCTAAAAATTGGGAAATTATGTTATTGGAATTTATACTTATTGAGGCATACACATTAAATCCTAAACAGTGTTTTCTGTCTTTACCCTCCACAGCAGGCGGGGGGCAGGCGATGTGACACAGGACCCTGAGAGCAGACACCATGCCAGTTCCCTCAGCAGTCAACACATGTTCCACATTCTGCAGTCAAGAGAAGAGACAAGTAAAAAATGACATATAGCACCGTTATTTGCATACAACCTTGACTCTACCAGGCTAATGGCCATGTACATTTTTGAGCCGTTCAGGCTTGTTGGGGAAGCTCTGCATGTCAAGGGGATACTATATAAACACGATGTATAGTTCAGTGTGTGAGTTGTTGCTTTGTTAACAGCTTAAGTGGTTTGTATAGCTTGCGTTGGTATCAGATCTTAGAATCAGCCACTCTTTCAGCAGCTTGGTTATAAGTGGTGAGAACAATGTACGGTTTTTCCCTGATGAAATAAGCTCTATAACTCTGCATTAAATAAAAATGATGAAACTGTAATCTAAGACTCCTTGCAGTTTATGTAAGAATAAGAGACTGATTACTTCACTGAAAGAGTGAATACATAAGTACCCGAGTTATATCTCATAATAAAGTCATTGGCAGCAGCCAAAACTCTGCCAACTGAAGAGATTTATCACTCGCTGACTTAAAAAGACTCAGAAATGATTAAGACTGTCTGTTGGTGGTGCAGGGGAAATGCTGCCTTACTTCAGCAGTACGTCATATATAGGAGAGAGCTGTACCTGTTTGATGTAATCTATGAGGACGGGAATGCTGCCGATCTCAAAGCGTATTTTATCCAGAGGCTCCAGCCATTTGCCAAGCTCTGAAGTACAAAGGAAGAACAAAACATAAACAATTAAAAAAGTGAAGATTTAGATTTAAAAAATGGACACTTATGGTATGATCGTTTAACCGATTTGTTCCAGGAACTGACATTTTGAATTTGCCGTGATGAACAAGTTTTCTTGGCTTGAGTAAGAAAATATCTTACTCAACTCGATATTTAAAAATTGATCAAATGTCCTTGTATTTCATTAGTAGTCCCATGTTCCCAAAGAATAAATATAATATATGGTTAGAACATTACATTAAAGTTACATTTAAATATGCCATCTGTGAGGTCATGACAAGTTGAATATTAAAGAAATGCACACATATGCTGTGTGAATAAATGCACACATTTAATAAAAACAATCATAGCGAATTCCTATTAAAAAAAAATCTTGACTTCATAGTTCAAGTGATCTTAACAATTTAAAGTTTAATGTAACGTACTTTGGCACCAGATTTCAAGACGTTAGAAGAACCAATAATGCATTTATTTTCATCATATTAAATAATAAATGTACCCTGTAACTTGGCATTGGTGTCGTCAGCCTTGGCTATAGCAACCAGTGGAGCGGCATATTGTTCCATCGTCCTCAGGTCGTTGGAGGTCTGCACCACGAGGAGCACCAGCATACAGGCGTAGTTATAGGTCACTGCTTTGCGAGCTTTGGCCTCACTACAAGAAAAGATTAAAAAATAAGTCAAAACATACTCAGAAATCATACATTTAAATAAAACCACAGCATAAAGAAAAGGACATGAGTAGGAGACAGCTGTACCCCTGTCCGTCCTTGCTGTGGTGCTGGAGCAGGGTGACCAGACACGACAGGTTGTTCTCCAGGCTGAAGACGTGGGCCACTGCACTGCGGCCGGTCTGAGTGAAGGTCATCAGGTAGAGGGCATGAAGCATGCCCAGGACCTCCGGGTTGTCCCCTTCCTCTAGCCCAACCCCCCCCTCTCCTCCTGCAGCCACATGGCTCATGAGCTCGGACACACTCTGCAGAGCGTGCAGAGCCTGCATCAGCCACACGCCAAAGCCCTCCTCCCCGAACCCTGGCCCCGTGACCCCTCCCTCTCCCCCTGTAAAGGTGGTGTCCTCGCTCTCGGTTTCTACCATTGACGCCAGGAGACGCAGCAGCAGGTTGGTGGGAGTGGGCTGAGCGAGGAGGAAGAGCAGTCCTGACTGTGTGAGCGACAGGAAGCGGAGGATCTCCCGGACAGCCTGGGTGACCCCGAGGTGACCGGCCGCTGCAGCCGCTGACAACACCGCCGCCGTGCTCTCCAGGAAGTGGCACGCATACATATACCTGAGGGATGAGAAGGTGCATTAATACAAACCCAATCAAGGAGTCCCAGCTCCATTCAACTTTTAGTTTATTTTCAGACGTTTTCAGTCTTATGTTTGAATCTGTGACAAAACAATGCAAGTTTATGCAGACTGTGGGGGAAACTTCTGAAGCAATTGGAGTCAGGACTCAGAGAGACACGAGGAGCTGAGCTGGAGCTTTGATGGCAAACACTGACGGTTTATTTGGAGCTTCGGCCGGAGAATTCACAAGAGATGTCACGGGCCACGGTCTGACCACACGGTTGAGATGCCAAACCAATTCTGAAGAACTCTCCTGTAGTTCCAGGTTTGAACTAGTTCAGAGTGTAATAATCAACATTCTTCAATAGATAGACTAAACAGCTGAGGACACTGAATCACATTTGTTGTCGCTTATGACTCGGGGTCATCTACACCCCGAGAAGGATGTGTTCCAGGTGTCCCATAACAATAACTATCTCTGACCGAGAGTTGCCTGGTCATAAACTGGTAACATCAACAATATGCTAGGGCAGCCCCTCCTTATGGGAGATAGCATGCTGCCCAAGGCTGGGCATCTGCGTCAGAGGGCGAAAGGTAAACAAGTATACAGAATTATTCCCCGACACAGACCATAATCGTTTATTAAACCTAATATTTTTACGTTTATTTTTTTGTACAATACGCATTAAATGTATTGAGTGAAATTTCAAGAAACTAAATAAAATGCATGTGTTTTATATTGTTTCCAAAACGTATGACCTCTAGTGTGTATATGGGTTTCAGTGTTTCCCATACATTGATTTATTTGTGGCGAGGCGCCACAATTAAATATCGTCCGCCACAAATGGATCTCATAAAAAAAAAAAATATTATTATTATTTATTTTTTTGGTGGTCTAATGGATAGTGAGGTGGGCTGATGATCGGAAGGTTGCGAGTTCAAATCCTGCCTGGAACACCACTACTAGTGTGCCCTTGAGTAAGGCACTTAGCCCTTGGTTACTCCAGGGAGAATGTCCCTGTAATTGGTCATTGTAAGTCGCTTTGGAATAAGGCGTCTGCTAAATGCCTAAATTGTAAATTATATTTTTGGGAGAATAAACCCCACAGATCCTCCACTCCGGTGTGTCTCAGTCATTAACAACGCAACACAGAGCAACAAGAACGTTGTCTACAGTAGCCATGAACTCGCATGTATTATCTTATTTGAGGGGGGGGTGGATGCGTGGACCACCCGAATAGGTTAAGGGGCATTTGGCTTTTCTTGCCGGGGGGGGGGGGGTGCGGTGCGGTGCGGTGCCCCCACAAATAGAATCAAATTCTGTGGGAAACACTGGGTTTTGGCTAATTGAAATAAATACATACAGCGTTCATAATATTTGTATATTTTTGTTTTTAGTGTATTGTAAACGTAACTTGTCTTTCTTTTAAACACATTTGTTAATCTTTGTTCCTCTTTCATACTATCTCTCTTTAATTTGGAACAACTTCTGAATGCAGTCTGGAAGCTTCTTATCTTTGTACTTTTTAGACTAGAAGTGCTGTTCTATTTGTTCCACCAAATCTCTACACAAACATATACGTTTATAATTCACATGTTTGTTGGTCTATGATAATTAGCTCTGTTTACAATTCTTATTTGTGGCAAAAAAGTGGATTATATGTATGCCTTCTAGACAGTAGGTGTGTATGGAACTATAAAAGAATGTTACAATATATGTGATGAAATTGGATTGAAGTGTCTGCACTGTGCGAGGTTTGAGGTCATATGTGTTTGTATGTTTACCTGTACAGTGTCGGGTATGGATCGTCCCTCTCCTGTGGCCCTGTTATTCTAGCACTGGTGGGGAAGGCTTTGACAGGCGGCTGCACCATGCAGTAAGGGGCCGTCTCTAGCAGGTGATGCAACTCTTCCAAAACCCCTGCCAGCCGATCCAGCTCAGCCTCGCTCACAGGGGAGGAGTTCAGGGACGGCTCCTCCTCCATGGGGATCTCAGAGTCCTCCATCTCCTCCTATGATAGTTAGCCATGATTATCATAAAACATGTACTAAGTTAGTAACATGTGTGTGTGAGAATACGTGTGTGTGAGTCTACCTGCTGTGGTTCACTCAATGTCGCTGCTGCCCGCTGCAGGTCGACCAGCACCTCATACATGTGGCTCTTCTGTAATATCGCGTTGCCAGCAGTAATGACTCTCACGGTTTCTTCACGCAGGAACATGTGGACTAAACGCTGTGAAAAGGACATACAGCAAAGTGTGAGATATGAGTGAGGCAAAAATGTAACATGATTTACTTACAGCACAGCCAAGGCAGTGAGTGGTTCAATGAAACACTCACTGCCTGGCCTGACTGAGTCTGAGAGTAACTCAAGGTAAATGGTAATGGGCTGCATCTCAAAGAACTTTGACATGTACGATTCAGCCATTCACACAAACATTCACACACAGGCAGCCTAATAAGCTACCACCTGCCCAGGGGAGACTCATATTCACCGCCTATGGTTCATTACATGCTGTATTTAAAGGCCAGTTCACACTTGGATCAAATGTAAGGCTTGGTTCTATTTGGGATTTTTATTCATCTATTTAAGCACATCAGGAAGATCAAGTAATTTCATCTAATTCTTGTTTCTTATGCATTTAATAAAAAATGTTCGACAATATACTATTTTCATGTTTGTACACTTAGTGATGCTTACCTGATAGCCACTCTTCTCCGACTCTCCTGCATGTAGGAAAGCCTCTGCTCCAGCGGGAATACTGGTCAGAGCCCCCAGAGCTCTCAGGATGCTCAGCTTCAGTGTAGAGGAGACATGGTCCGCTTGGATGAGCTCCAGCAGCACACCGAGAGCCCCTTCACGCAGCAGCACCGAGAGGCCCTGTGGGCACTCTGCAAGCTGTGATAGTAGCTTGGCACCAGCTTTCAATTGTCTGAGATTAAGAGCAATGGGTTGTTTCAGAGCAATCTCCATATTCAGAGCTTGGAGCGCCCATTGTGCTAAAACTCCAACAGGTTCCTCCAGCTCGCCCTCTCCTTGTTTGATGAAATGAGCGAGGCCTTTGGCCAGTAGGGCAGGGGCCTCTTCTAGAGCAGGGACCCAGCGGGCATCCCTGTCCTCTCCAAAACTGGTCAGCAGCTCTTTGAGCTGGGCAACAGCGTCTGCCTCATTATCCCCTGTTGGTCCTTCTGTACCAGCAGAGTCCATGGGCTCTTCCACAATGGCTTTCTCAAACTGGGTATCAAAGCGAGTCTTGTATGGAGGGGTGAAGTAGAGCAGGGGTCTAAGTTCTCGCTCATATGGGTCAAACTGGACAGGTGGGACAGACGCCAGGTCCTCAGGAGTGTAGTCCATGTCAAACGTGGGCAGCTTGAAACTGCCATTATCCAAATCATCCTCATCGCTGGAAATCTGCTCGTAGCCGTCATCACCTGAGAGACAGAAGAGAGGGGAAATTTGACAAAAGTTAATATATATTAAAAAAGATTCATCATAAAATATGTGTAAAAAATGAATGAAATGAGGAGGCAAGCGACTACTACATATTCCCTTGCTAATTCACACACAAACCTTCATCACTCCATACGTGCTGGGTTAGTTTGACATGCAGGATGAGACACAGCACACGCACCAGCCATGGCTGTGAGGATGTGAGAGGTAGACCTCCACATGACAGCTTATGATATCCGTCATAAGCCTGCAGAGTAGTGTTTGGAGCACCAGACAGATGTAGATGGAGGCAGCATGCCAGAGAAAACACACTCTCTAACTCTCACTCATCCCAAATGGACCCGTCCCCCGGGGAGTTTGCAGGGCCGGGCATCCATTTGGGATTGCAGACTATCCTACTCTCACAAAACAACTCCCCTACCTTCCTCCATCTCCTCGTCCTCACCCTCATCTTCCTCTTCTTCTTCCTCCTCCTCTTCCGGGACACTCCCCTCAGTCCGTGCGTCTTCTTCCTCCTCTGGCTCCTCCTCATCGCCCTCTTCCTCTTGTTCAGCATCTGAGTATGCTTCGTCAGCAGGCAGCGATCTCTCAGGTGACACGGCCTCCAGGTAGTCTTCTCTGCCCTCTATTGGCTCCACTTTGACTGCGCCCACTGTAAATGTCAGAAGAGGACACAGGGTTCAGCTAACATACCCACAGGGCTCAGCTAACATACCCACAGGGCACATGTAACGTGCAGGCTGTACATTTATCAACTTTAGAAGGGGCCTATGCCTGAAAAACCAGTTAAGGATCATAAAGGTATTTTTGCAGGTAGTAACACAATGCTTATACTTTGTCCAAAGCACAACACTTTTTTAAGTTATCTTTTAAAACCTGGCAGGAAGCAATTAGTTTTTATTAACTTCAGTACATTATGATAATCAGCTTGCAGAGACTTGCTCGGGAAATGTAAACTTATAGCCAAAAATCTATTGTATGTTTATAATTGACTATTAAATAATAAGTACATCTTATCACACCTGTACTATGTTACAGTACCTTACTGTTGTCAAACCTTTGTTATTAAGGTTGTTTGTCTAACGCTTATTTTGGAGGAGTTACAAGTTACAAAATTGTGTGTTTTGTCTGCATTTTTTTTTTTTTTTTTTTAAATTACAAGCTGTATAAAAAAAACGACAACAACATCTCTGTTATTGTTGATAAATCAGGATGAACAGTGGCAGATATAATGTGATAGCACAGTGCAGTTCTCACCCGTCACTTGGACCTGCTCTTCATCATCATCATCTGGGGGCGGAGGACCAGGCGGAGTACGAGGTCCCCTTGGTGCAGGTCTGGGTGGGCTGCCATTGTACTGCTCATCTTTTTCCCACTCTAAAAAAAAAGCAATAAATTGACAATATAAAAAGCAAATCTGGGAAAATAAGAGATACTGTGTTTATTGGCTGGTTTAGTATCAGGGGTGTGGAGGCGAGAGCGTTGGGTACTTTCGGTTAAATAATGCACACCTTGTTTGATGATCCGCTTGGGCCCGCTTTGCTGTTGAGGGGGGGGAGGTGGAGGAGGAGGGGGGGAGCCTGCAACAGGTCCATGTGAGCGATCTGCTGTCCCGTACACTGCTACAGTCAGAGTGGTGTACCAGCCACGCAGCACCAAGCCGTCTGTGTTTACCTGTGTGCACAAACCCATTCGGTTATTCACAATTCAACAGAGAAATACAAATACATATCTTGTTTTAGGTCAATCATTTACCTTTCCACTGGGTCTGAACACAATGGACTTGTTCTCGTCATATTCCAGACTGAGGGCAGAAAGCAGAACAGAGCAGATAAAACATCAGTGAATATAGATAGATAGATAGATAGATATATACTTTAACTATCCCAATTTGGGAAATGCTTTTGTTACAGGAGCAGTGTGTTCAACATTAAAATACAAATACTTAAAAAGTGGAATAGAGTTAACAATTAACAATTTAACAGGAACATATAGGGTTATACTATGGGAATATTTATATCAATGCTGAACAATCCTTGAACTTGTCTTTGCTTGTTCATCATCTTAGGGATTTAAGTGTTAAAAATAGCATGCGACTGCAATTAAGTCTAGAAATCAGTTAAGTCCTGGATAAACCTGTTTCCAAACAGCAGAAAAATATTGTTGTGTAATTATGTCTTAAAAGCACTCCCTCATCATCGGTATCTCCCCTCATTTTCTCTCCGTTCCTTTATCTAATCAGGGGCTTAAGTGTCGAATATTTTTTTTTTCTGCAAGGTACCAGACAGTTTTACGTCACTACGAGACACTGGAAGTTGTTAGCTGTGTTGGCAAGAATCTGGCGACGTGTGTCATCATATAGAAATAACTATTCAATGTACTGTACGCATGGCAATATATTGCAATTTTTTTTAAATCTAATTTTAGGGGAACTAAACGAGTATAACGAACACGGCAACATCTGTAAAAGATCTGAGAAAAAATGCACCTGTGTTTTTTTGGGTTCAAGTATGACCAGGAAGCTTTCTATATGCCATCCAACACATCTATACGGTCATATTTTGTGTCATTTTGTATTGCTATATGCAATGAAAAACTCATCTTCAGCTATATCACAATGATCAGGACCATCTAGATCAGGATTAACACATTCATTGGCTTATAAGAAGGATTCTCATCCAAAAGCATTTTGCTGATTATTTAATTTTGTTTTTGACATTTTGAAGACGTTTACATAGCAATCAGACCGGTTCAATAAAAATGTATTCCCAACTTTCCAAGCGGAGATAATACCTAGGGTGTGTCGTATTTAGTTTTCAACGGCTCTTACACAATGCACGCCTCTAAATACACTTAATGCTCTGCTGCCACTGTGCATACCTCTGTTATTGTGGGAAAGTGATAAATATGCTGTACTCTATCATTCAACTAGTCATCTATTTCACCTCTTAGTTTTTGTGACACTGTGGGTGGGGTTGAGTTTCTGGAGAGACCAGTTTGCCAGCATAGGAACAAAGACGCCTGAATCTGGGTGGGTGTAGATACACGTGCCTCTGGGAACAGGGCTCAGATGCTACCACGACTGGTTCTTCAGGTGAGACAGACTTCGCATCTCAAGCAGTTTGGAGGTTTGACCAGGAAATACTGACATAGAAGAGAGGCTTGGGGGGATAGAGTATCAAAAGGAGATAGAGAACATCATTCTGACCTGCCCAGTCTGTTGAACACGTGATTGTTGGGTTTGGTGACATTATTGAAGAATAAATCCAACTGGAAAGAATGAGGTGACGTCTCCCTGGAAACACAGAAACACACACATTTATGTGGCAGTCAGGGCTATATGGACATACATCAACAAAGGGGTGGGCGTTTTGACAATATGGAAGCAGACGTCAGATTGTCAAGTACACATTTACAATGTATTGCAATTCCATAAAACTTCTTTACCATAAATTATACTATAAATGGGACACTATAAACATAAAATGTGATTGTTGGTTAGTTATTATCAGAGGTGGGGACTCGAGTCGCATATTTTTGGACTTGAGACTTGCTTGACTAACATTGATAAAAGACTTGACTTGGACTTGGTATTCATGACTTGAGACTTGACTGAGGCCTCCTTCACACGGGAACGTTTGCATTTATGCACAGTATGCGTATTCAAAAAAGTCTTCCGTTCACATGCATTCGTTTCATTTAACGTGTCTGTTCAAACGAGGCCGCTGGAAACGCTGTAGTACATATGCCTGGACTGTAAGTGGCGCTGTAACTTCTGCCAAAATACACCAAAAGCAGCGAAGAAGAGCAGCCCGAGCAGCAATGTTGCCATGGCTACCCTTCTGTTTATGCCCCGCGGTGTATTTAGCAACATGTAGTTCATGTAATTCTCCATGTCCACTTGTTGCTGATGGTTGTGGTAGAGGAGCTGTAGATGTTGCACTAACATCTGTAGCATGGTCAGTAGCAGTAGCACTAGCAGTAGCTACTGACAGGAGGAAGTGTGTGTGGCAATTGCTGGTATTCAGCGGGATATAGTAATTTCCTCAGCATATGGATAAATGCAACGGGGAAGTTAACTGAAAGAAACCGAATCTGTGGATATTGCATCGACCGACCAAGAAGCACGTCTCCGTGGAGAGGACGCGCTCAGAAAGAGAGATATTCTCTACAAACACCGGGTGAGATCCTCCTTTGTCAATATAATGGATCAATGCATGAAATCTGACTCTGTTTATTTGTTTAAGGAGTATATTGGGCGTTAACAATTCTGGTTTGCCTTTTATAATATTATTTCATTCAAGAACCCCTTGTGCGTTTAATGAACACAGCTATTTTTGATAGTTGCTACAGCAGTGAGCAGCAGAGGCGGGGAGATGTGTGGCTATCGCTATTTTTTCAGGAAATATTCGTATAGAGGTGATTACACGGACTCGGTTGACCCCTCAGAGCGTTTCGTTTGCAAATCTATCCACCTTGGGACCCGTTATCGTTTGTGGGGTCAGTTTCTATCGGCCTCGTGTAAATAATGGGGCTATACGCACGCGAAACTATGCAGATACAAGCAGTTTTCTCCTCGTGTAAACGGCGCCTTAAGCTTGAGACAGATGACTTGAAAGGACTTGACTTTTTAAAATTAAATATTTGCGTTTGTTTTTGTATTGAGATATTACATTTAGTTTTTTCTAAACGTGATTGGGTGATTATAGCGCCGTGCGCGCAAACCTGGCAACCCACTAGACGGCAGGAGTGTCAGTTAACATGGCAACGGCTAGCGTTACTCCACAAATAGTCAAGTTTGGATTCAAGGATTATGTTGTCGATGACGGTAATAAGAAGAGAACAGCGGTATGCAGGGTCTGCAGCATAAAGATCAGTGACACGACCACAACAACATCCAACTTCATTCGTCACTACAAAAAAACCCACAGAGAAAGGTACGGGCATGTGTTGTGTTAGCTAGAAAGCTAACGTTAAGTTTAAGCTACGTTGGACTTGGTTTCAAATCGATTAAGCATTGCAAAGAGAAGACAAAACGGTAAATGAACACTAGAACCGCCAAGGGATTCATTTTTACTAACCCTGATACTGACGGGCTGTCAGGAGAGGGAGAGAGAGAGAGAGGGAGAGAGAGAGAGGAAAAGAGATGCCTCGTTTATTTCCCCTGTGTTATCAGAAGTTACTGTAAACTGTTGAATCATGTAGTTCATCTACTTTTAGTAGTTTGTTTAAATGTTTTAATTATGTTGTATTTGTTTGTAGAAGTGCATCATTCCTTGATTTATTGTAAAATGAATCTGAACTTTTTAATCTGTTATGATGATAAACTGAAGCAATTTCAAAATTAACCCAATTAAGTGAGTTTTAAATCGTCCTACTTAGTTTATAAGGAAATTATGAAGAGGAACAAATTAAATGATTTGAAAATGATATCTATGTAGGTGCTGACGCTGTTGGCGGTTCTAGTGTTAACAGACATTTAAATTAAATATGTGTAATGGCAAATGCCATATACGATTTTCTTACCTGGAATTCTGCCTTTTTGAACAGACTTTTTGACTGAGTCCTATCTATATTGTCTGCAGTTCTAGGGTTAATATGAATCTAATATGATTGTCATCGGTCTAAATTAGATTTCAAATGATTAACTGTGTATGTAATGAAGATCATAGTGTGGGTTAAATCAATTTTCATAACCACTGTGTTTTAACTGATTTAAATGCGGAAACTGGGCTTATTCATCAGAATTTCGTATAACTTGACTTGACTTGCTTAACCTGAGCAATGACTTGACTTGCTTGACTCTCACCACAGTGACTTGGGACTTGCTTGATACTTGTAGGTCAAGACTTGAGACTTGCTCATGACTTGCACATGTAGGACTTACTCCCACCTCTGGTTATTATACTGCATCGCATTGATCTAGGTCAGTGGTCGGCAACCCACGGCTCTCTTTAAGCCCTCTGCTCTGGCTCCCTGAGCTTAGACAAAAATAAGAAGGAAATAAAATAAAAGTATTTGTAGGACTATTTAAATGTTGTTGCATGGTTGAAAATGTTTCGTATCTTGTATTTTGAGGTGATACTGTGACATAAATAAAAAACAAAACGGTTTTTATTAGGTCAACTAAAATATGCGTCATATCCTGCGACGGTGAACTATGGATAAATCAAAGAAAATAAAAGTATCGGAGGATCAAAGGGTTTAATTCTGCGAGGACAGAGTTATATGCTTTCAAGTAGGGATGTCCCGATCACCTTTTTTTGCTCCCGATCCGATTCCGATCATTTGATTTTGACAATCTGCCGATACCGATTTTTCCCGATCCGATCTTTATGCAATGCATTAAGAGAAAAAAAAGGAGAAAAGCATTCAAGTTGTCCCTTAAACCCCACGTTCTCCACCACAGATAACGGCTGGTCATCCAACGCGATGAATTCAGCTATCTTGGCTGTTATTTTTTTGGCCTTTTCACTGTTCTGGGGCAGTTTCTCTTTCCTTTTAAAAGTCTCTGAAAGTGTTGGTTGTTTCAGTGCCGTTACCTGAGTGGCCGCTGTGTACTCGTCGTGTTGTTGTTGGTGTTTGTTTCTCAGGTGGCGTATTAGATTGGTCGTGTTGAACGTAGCTCTGTTCTTTCCACCACGCGGAACCTCCGCCTTGCAAACATTGCATCTGGCTGTTACACTGCCTTCGCTTTCAATTTTATAATACTTCCAAACTCCTGACATTTTCTCTGTCCCGAGTCACCAGCTGAACGTAGCCTCTCGTTAGCTTACTGCTACTATTAGACACTGCGCCCTGCCCACTCTGTTGCCAGATTTGAGAGAAATAAGCAACCAGAGGCCTGTACTACGAAGCTGGTTCAACCTAACCTGGATATGTTGGAGTTAGCCGGTTGGCCTAAGCCAAAACATACGCGCTGGCGCTAAGCTGTACTACGACGCCGGTTATCAAGTGGATCGCTCAAGCCAGCTGTGTCCTATCTAGTTAGGTGCGCGTTCACATAAAAGGGGTGGTATTTGGAGCATTCGACCAATCTCAAACACGGACAAGCGTACTGACAGCGCAGCGTCATACTTCCTGAATGAAAAGTGAACTTTAATATTAGTCAAATATGAAGAAGTTAAACTTTAAACATCCATGACTTAAACACTTTATCCAGGATAAAAGCCACATAGCTGCACCTGCAAGGTGAATACAGCTGGTAAAAGAAAAAGTGTTTGAATGCGTACATTAACAGGTTTATGAAATCACTGCCCCGTCCAAGACACGAGTGGATCTGACTTTAATTAGGAGAATTTGACTCGAGTGTTTCGTCAACTTAATGTGTTGCTTAAAATAATACTTCTGCATACAGTATGTGACACTGTGAGTGTTGCACGGCCAGATACGGCTCAAGAAGCTGACTCAAATAAGGAAATATATGATACATTATGATGTGATATGATATGCACTCACAGTGCCGCGGACTGTACTTAATGTTACTCTGATCCGGTTACTTATGTCGTGGCAGATATTTAAGTAAGCTTTCTTAACGCTAATATTATAATAGTCAGATTGCTCTGAAGATGGGAGGGGATATTCTATTAATTTTCACGGCCGTCTTTCCTGCAACGGCAGTTTTTCTGTATTTCCTCTATCTTGTAATATGAATTGATCGCTTTAAACTCCGCACACGGAGCTCTGATTGGTCAGCAGGCAGTGCTTTCACTGAGTTGATCTCTTAGCCTGCCACCTAACCTGCTCCGGAGCAGGTTTGCCGCTCAGCATAAGTTACCATGGAAATCTAGCCTGCTAAAAAGAGAACCAGCGTCGTAGGACCGGAAAGCCCGAGATTTCCCTGAATTTAGCCGGCTAAGCGAAAATCCAGCTTCGTAGTACAGGCCTCTGGTCTATGAAAACAAGCCCAAAAGAAGCAACACATACATGATGTTGTGTAATTTTAAACCAAAACTAAGGCCTCAGGATGACTTTAAGACGTGAACATGGTCATTTTTGTTTTGTAACATTAAATAAAATAAGAAAAATATTTTATTAAAAAAAAAAAAAAAAAAAAAAAATCCGATCCCCGATTTTTTTCTCCCGATTCCGATCTTTTGAAAATCACGTGATCGGCTCCGATCCCCGATCACGTGATCGGATCGGGACATCTCTACTTTCAAGCAAACGATGCTGGTTTACCGGTATGTTTGATATGTAGAGAGAAGTTGTTAAAGGTGCTGCAGCCTTTACGTATCGAGGAAAAAGACGGAAGAGGAAGACAGCTGACGATCTTCAGTCATAATTCAATCAGTTAACTCTTTTTAGGGTGCAGCTATGTTTTATTTATTTCAAAGTGGGTGAATTTTAATTGTATTTTTTTTCCTTCAAATGTGCAGAGGACTCCCCAAGTGCTGTGTTTAATTTATTTTAAAGTAGGCCTGTGTATTTTTTTTTAATTCTCCTTATAAGAGTTCTTTGTTTCTTATTAGAGGTTAACTGTTTTATAATGTAATAAATAATAAATGCAAAAAAACTGTAGTTTTTGTCTATGATGTAAAAATAAATACAACTTTATAAGCTATCAAGCTATCAAATATGTTTTGCGGCTCCAGACAAAAAAAATGGTTGGAAAAGGGGGCAAAATGGCTCTTTTGATCAAAAAGGTTGCAGACCCCTGGTCTAGGTGGACCCAATACACTGGCACTTACTGTATGTCACTGAGTGTTATAGTGCTCTTACCCGAATGCTCTGCTGTCAGGTAAGTTGCTGTGTGCTTTGATGCCCGGAGGAATCACCCGCACCTCTGTGATCAACACCCCGCAAGGAAACCGCACCACATCGATGTTGGTCAACTGAATTGCATTGAACACCATAATTAATAAAACAAACATTTAAATAAAACAATAACATATAAGTTTATTAATGTAGCCCAATGTCAAAAAACACGTTTGTGTCAGTGGGCTTTACAGATTAACAAACATGAATGACAGTGCTAAAAGACAAAGAAAATGACAAAAAGACAAGATAGAATGTAAAATGCAAATAAAAATAGAATGAGATAAATTGAGATAATGCCACCACTAGTTAACACTAATACCACAGATCACAACAGACACTTCTGATGACCATGTTTAGGCTAAACACTAGCATTAGCCACTCTGCTAACTAGCAAACAAACTGCGCAAGGGGGTAAAAAAGCTGTGTGAGCTGTGTGTTTATGGGGTTATGTACATACAAATCTATTTAACTTATAACGCAACATGAGTTGTGAATGTAGGAAAGTGTGCAACGTGAGTGCAATACATGCTGTGAATTGTTACCACAACAACCAGGATATATTGCTAATGTTAGCCATGCTATCATCGTTAGCTTAGAAGTTTAGCATCGATCTCTAAAACTCCTGACTCTGACCAGTATGAGTGTTCAATGCTGGCGGATCTGAGGTAAATATACAAGAGGGTGGTAAGGCATGACAAATATTACCTCTGCACTCTGGTGTTTAAAAGTGTCAAGAAAAAGAAGCTCGGTTGAGGTGTCCCCCGCCATCGCTTACTGCTCCGTTGGGCCAGGGGTACACTTCCGGTCTGTGTGGGTGAATACTTCCGGAGCACAAATATAAACATCAGAAATAATACTTAAACTAATATTACTTTGAAGAGAAAATAAAAGAGACATTTATACCTTAATTACACTAACATCATGTAATGATTTTACTTACTAATACCTAATTGTAATGTATTATAGCATATTAATATCTCCATATCATATAATATAGTTTATTACATTAAGTTATTCATGTTACTCAACCAAACAAGAGTAAAAAGACAGTTTCTGTCAGTGCATAATCTTTTGGTGTATTTAATGGTTTAATTAATTAAAGTTTGTTTTTTCCTTTTTGTGTATTTTATTTAATTTTATCAGTGTTGTTTTATATAGCCTATAGCAACACTTTATTCCTGCGGAATTGGTAATAAAATAAAAAATACTTTATTTTATTGTTTGCTGTCAAGTAGCCTACTGTACATTTAGCAAATAAAAAAAACTAATGTATGCCAAAGTGCTTTTTTATTCAGAGGTTAGGCTGATAAAACACAAACATTAATAAGTTAATATAATTCAATTAATGAAAACATAATGTTTTATTAAATTCATAGCATAGCACAAACTTACTTCACAAACAGAATGAACTACCCACAAATAAAAACAAGAGGGGATCTTCCATTTTCAATATAGGCTACTTTCAATATGCTTATACAACTTTATTAAATAATATTTGTGTAAATACAAGAAATTCCTAATAGGAATTATTGAATTATTTAAGAGCACGTGGGTACACTCCTTTTTATTCTTCAACTAGACCTCACCCTTTTATCATTGATACCTGCAGGGCCCCGTAAATTGTTAATCAAAGAGATACTCTAATTAGTCCTACTTTTATACTGAAAAATATGCAAAGAAACGTATTGATATTTCGGTCCTCCATGGTCTGCCACGTCCTAATCTGCAAACCACCTGAAGGAGGGAGGGGGCAGGTAAAGAGTCACGTGGTCACACAGGTAGATGCAATACAAAAACGGGGCACGTTCAGCCATTACTCGGAGATGGTGACTGCGGGAGGTTTCACGTTAGATTTTACAAGCGACGAAACTTGGATTTACGGACTTCACCTTTGTGCTCAGGTGTCACAGTAAAGGTGTTTATATACATTGGCTCCCGCGTGTTGACTTCGCAGGTGTATCTTCAGTTCCTGCCTTTTACTTTTTGTGCAGCATTGGATAATTTTTTTCGGCGGTGTTTGTGCTCAGATGACGGCGCAGGTAGACTACCTGGTGGTGTTTTTCACCGCCACATCTGGCGCGAGTGGAGAGCTGCTGGGATCCGACGAGAAGGAGCTCGTGCAGTTGGTTTGGCAGCTGGTGGATGTAAAGAACAAACAGGTGAAACTTTATTATTTTTTACAGAGAGTTATTGTTAGTATAAATCAGGAAATGTAGTGGTAAACAACTCAAGTCGGAAATAGTCTTCAAAACAAACTACAGACGTTTATAATACTGTTGTAAACATCTATGAGCTTAATTTAGGCTCTTAAATTGTTAAGTAAAATGGGATGACTAATATATTCTCATAAAGCTGTCTATATTTAAAACAGACTCCGACTCTGTTATGTGTTAATATAAATGTAATAAGAGTCTCTATTACATACATGTAATGTTATTTATTCAGGCTTCAGCTTGTGAGTTTCTATGAGAGCTTCTGTTTCTAGACTAACATGTTTTTTCCTCTTCTCTGAACCAGTTGGGCAAGGTGAATGAGATCCTGATTAAGCCTGACCTCTCAGAATTGACAGAGAAAAAACAGGAGGAGGAGGATGTGGTGGAGGAGAGTGTGGAAGAGGAGAATGGATCCGGAGCAGATAATGTCTCCACAGCCTCAAGTTTTGAGACAGCATTAAACCTGGTAATAACCTACCTTAAATCGTTACAATAAGCAGCATTATACCTGGTAATAACTTACCTTAAGTCACTACAAATAATGTTTTTTTGTTACATACTAACTGTGGAGATGCATGAGGATATATTGTCAGCATTTTAAATTATTTTCTAAATGTTTAATGCCTCGCCTTGCAGTTTCATCTAGAACTGTCAAACGAGGTGAACAGCGCGGGCGCAGGCACGTCGGTGTGTTTGTGTACAGACGGGCAGCTCCACATCCGCCAAGTGATTCACCCCGAGGCTGCGAGCAAGGTGAGCTGAATGGGTGAACGCCTTGCAGCCAGGGCGGATGCTCTGCAGGAACCTTCAGCGCTAACACAGTCACAAAGAGATATGTTGTGTCAGCACTGAGCTCCTGGTTGAATTGAAATGTACAGTGAAAGTTGCTCTAGAGCCAAGAGCCGCTCAGGAAAACCTGTCCAATGACACACGCCCATGCACATACCACCTACACAATGAAGCTGATAATATTTCCCTGAATGTCTTTAACCTGTAAAGTGTAAGACAGAAATAATTCACCTGGCATGAGCAAACATTGATATGATGGCAATAAAAAGGCAGCTGTTGAAGGGCCGCTGGGTAACATCCGTTTCTTTAATGTCTCCCCTCTTCAGAACATCCTGGTCCCAGACTGTTTCTACTCTTTCTTTGACCTTCGGAAAGAGTTCAAGATGCATTTCCCCTCATCTGACCTCAAGGCTTTGAATGTACACATCATGGCAGAGTGTATCCTTCATTATTTCACTGTAAATGTGTGTGTAATATTAATAATGCATTCATGTATATATTGGATTTTATTTTTCGGTTATTCGTGCCCAAGTATATCTTGATATTTTGTGCCCCTATATCGCTGAGAAACACGCATTTAGAAGTTTGTAAGCCACGGGTGTTGGCTGCAAGACTGGAGGTTTTGAAATGCAAATGCAAATAGGGAAACAATGGCAGCACCTTACTCAGCGCTCAGTGAGCGAGTGTGTGTTTAGCCAACAGGGTAAACCCCACACACCCACTGAAACAGGATAAACTAACATCTATGTGTGTGTTTCTCTTTTATCACTTGCCCTTTTTTTGTGGCGTTTCCATTTTTCTCAAATGTTTCACCTGTCACATAATCACTTTGTACACGTATATCAAAACTTTCTTGCTGTCTCCGAACTGTAAACTGCTTTTATTTGGCTGTTCCTTGTTTACTTTCCTTGACTGCCTCCCCCACAGCTCTTAGTATGCCTGTTGATGTGCCCCCCATGTGGGATCCCTCATCCACACTGGATCCCTCTGCCATACTGACCGCAGAAATAGCTGTACAGCAGGTCCAGATTATGGGCAGCATTGTCATGGCCCTGCTTTCTGAGCCATATAGTGAGTACCATATATGACTTTACACAAAGGTGGAATATTACAGACTTGTCATTGAGTTAGGCCTCAAAGCTTACTGTGTGTGTGTTGACAGGTAAGATCAAGTGAGCAACAAAAACATTGTTTGAATGATATTTAAGGAAACAGAAAATGAATCAACAGTTAATTTAGACATTTCTCATCAAAAGTGCTAATTATTTGTTGGTCTCAGATTCTCTAATGTAAGTACTTAAGTGCTCTTTTTTGTCTTATATGACACTTTCCTCAAATTCTTTGGACATCTGACATAGCAAGCTATTTGAATAGGTTGCTTTAATTTAAGGCATTGACGTTATATGCCAAACAATTAATCAATAAATAGGTAATAGATGAAAGATTAATCTACAAATCAGCAGTTTGCTCTAAATGTAATTTCTGTTGAAGTACAGGTCAGTTTTGGTGTAATTTGTGATCTCATGTTTGACTCTATTGCTTTCCCATTACAGGCCACACATTTACTAACCAGGAGAGAGTTAGTGAGAAGTTTGAGAACGGCACTTGGTAAGTAAAGTTTGCTCAAGATAAATATTCTTGTTGTTCTATGCCTCTGAAATCAACTCCAAGTTCCACGTCTGCCGTGCTAATGTCTCTGTGTGTGCGTGCTTCTTCTTGTGTGTGTGCTTCTTCTTGTATGTGTGTGCAGCAGTAAGATGGAGAAAGTGTGTGACAACTCAGTGATCAGAGCCAGAGGGTTGCCCTGGCAGTCTTCTGATCAGGACATCGCTCGATTCTTCAGAGGACTCAACATTGCCAAGTATGTTGGACCAATATTACCAGCACTCTCATTTATGAATTTTGTATCTTTAAGTAAATGTAATATACTAAAAACCTGCTGTTGACACAAGGCTCAACCCCCTCTCTAATGCCCTGTATGTTGTGTTGTTTAGAGGAGGGGCTGCATTGTGTCTTAATGCTCAGGGGAGGAGGAATGGAGAAGCTCTCGTTCGTTTTGACAGTGAAGAACACAGAGACCTGGCGCTGCAGAGACACAAACACCACATGGGCAACAGATACATAGAGGTAACCTGTCTTAATCCTTAAAGTCTGCATGAAATAAATGAATCAGCCACTCTACCTATATTAATCCAATCAATTGAGACACAGAGTCTTAACCTTTGTCTTGTTCCTTTCTAATGGCAGGTTTACAAAGCATCAGGAGAGGACTTCCTGAAGATAGCAGGAGGTGAGAAGATATAAACATTAGTAAAATTAGGTTTGGTGTTGTGTACACAATATAATTTGACCATATTAAGTCCTGAAGCTCTTGGGTGCCGTCTGGTTTAAAAGGGAATTTACTGTTATGAAAATCAACACCCAAATTATTATCCAAATAACAAAAATGCAACCAAAAAAACACACTGTTTGGAAAACTTAATGCTGTTGAAAACCACACTGTGGTCATTTTTATTTGTATAGTTTTAGTTAAGGTGTCCCTGTGTCCCTGTGTGTGGCAGGTACGTCCAATGAGGTGGCGACGTTCCTATCCCGGGAGGACCAGATCATAGTGAGGATGAGAGGTCTCCCCTTCATTGCCACACACGAGCAGGTGCTGGCCTTCTTCTCCCCGGGGGACGGCCTCAAAGAGACGTGTCCGGTCAGCGGAGGGGTGGACGGCATCCTGTTCGTACGCTATCCAGACGGGCGTCCCACTGGCGATGCTTTTGTCTTATTCGCCTGCGAGGAACATGC